GCTAGTGCTTGGAGGGCAGAGTCGAGTGGTCCTCACTGGGCACGCGGACGCTTCTTGGGCTGACGACCAGGCTACGCAGCGGTCGTCACAGGGTTACACCTTCAGCCTTGGTTCCGGCTCTGTTTCGTGGCGGGCTACTCGCTCGTCTTCTGTTCTCGGCTCCAGTTGTGAGGCCGAGATCTACGCCGGGGCCATGGTTGCTCAGAAGCTTCGCTGGCTCACCTACCCGCTGACTGACCTTGGAGAGCCGCCTCGTTCTGCTCCAGCTCTGTACGTAGACAACAAGGCCATGCTGGCCTTGTGTCGAGAGCAGAGACTGGAGCACAAAACGAAGCACATTGCTCTCCGCTACTTCCTTGCTCGTGAGCTGCAGCAGCGTCGTCAGTTGCGGCTTGCGTACGTGGCCTCTGAGGCCAACACTGCTGATGTTTTCACCAAGGCATTTGCGCCTTGTGATCATCAGCGCTTCTGTACTCAGCTGGGTCTTGTGCCTGTTTTGCCGCACTTGCTCTCTTCTTGACCTTTCTTGTACTTTCACATATATATACTTCTGCTCTTGCTTGCTTAGCCTCTTATATATATATATGCCCCTGCATGTGAACTGGCCTTCTGGCCTTGAACTTGTGCTCGGAGTGTGTGGTGACTTTGTGATCCACCCTGAGCTTTGCTTTTGCTTTGCTTGACTGGTCTTGTGACCCCTTGTTCTTCCCCACTTTGCATATGGGGGTGTGTCAAATTATAATGTTGTGTAGGCTATAGTGGGGTAACCCATATGGGGTACACATTTCTAGGGTTGCATATTTGTATCACTTCCATTCCATAGTCATTCATTCTCGTTCTCATTTCCTCAATGCACACCCGCTACAATTTTTTCCATATGTTCCCTTTTCGGACTTTGACTTGATGCGATGGACACCCAGAGATCGCGGGACTAGACAGCTGGCAGGTGCCTTTAGAAAGACACTCGCACTTAAAAATCGGGGTCGGGGTTTAGTTAGGTTTGGGTTCTCTTTTATATTCTTGGTGCACCCCGACATTTCGCGAAAGTACGTCGAACCCTCCTCCACGGTTTTCCTATACGTTGGTAAATACCATACGAAACTGATAGGGGTAGGGTAAGTACCCCAGGGTGTGCGTTTAAGGGTGTGATATAATCGAGAACAGGATGTATGCTGTTATGAAACTGCAATAACATCTTAGAAATTGAAGTAACTCTGATAGTTCTGACAGAAAAAAAAAAAATGCTTGTCTGAATTTTCAGACTAAAAACAAATAGGTAACTCTGACAGCCAGACTAGGAAGAGGGGTGTACACTGAGGCGTCAGACCACCTCAAAACGAATTTAGGGGCCTGGCCAACTGCCGCACCAGACGACGACTACGAAATCTTCGTGTAGATGCCGACGCAGGACAGCTGCCACACGAAATCAAATTTGAAATCGTCGGAACGCAGTGGAAATAACTCACGTTTAACGTCACGACACGACAGCTTCAGCTGTCCGTTGCCCGGGGGGAGGGAGGCCATGGTCGATCGCGACCGTTCGAGGCAAGGATCTGGCGGTGCCGAAGGAGTGCACATAAAATTATGGCCGCGAAGAGCAGCTAACTACTCATGGCCGGCTAGCACGCAACTCCAAGACCCCAAGGCATCCTTCCTCGTCCCCCCCCCCCCCCCGAGGGGTATTACACTCAAAAAGCGGGGTGAGCTAGGAAAGCAGCTATGATACCTGGTGTTATGAATGAGCTTGCATAGTGCACTGTAAAACGAGTATCGAGAATGAACTCAAAGAACTAACGATACAATGAAAGTGAGGAGGCCTAAGTAGGGGAAATGCTAGCTAGGCGGGGAGGTAGGGAATGGATGGCTCTGTGATGTTGCGATTGGTGCGGAGGCGACTCGGGGGTGGTTCGGTGCGACAAAGTAGGCAAGATAGGTTTGTCGCGTGACCCTCGGGGTGGCCTCGCTAACGAGTTTTCTCAGAAATCCTTACAGAAGTGATGAACTAGGTGGAAACTAAATAATATTTTTGTCATCACATTCGACAATTTGTTGGCTAGAAGGCTGACCAGCCATTTAGTCCGTTTGATGGGCAAAACAGATCCCGCCAACCGGATTCGAACCAGTGACCTAAGGATTGCTGAACTACAGTCCTCCGCTCTACCAACTGAGCTATAGCAGGACGTTTAAGATTCAAGAGTACAATTTGTTATTTGTGTAAATTATTTCTTAAGACACCTTGACCGCCATCTTGACCTTTGTCCAGCCATGGCGTCGCCACTCGCAGGCAAGCCACATTCCCCGTTAGAGTCCTGCCTCCTCGTCCTTGCTCGCTCGTCCGTCGTCCCACTCTCTTCTGCTTCATACCTCCTGCATTCTCATCTTTGTTGGGCTAGGCTGGAACTGTTTCACTAAATGCGGGGAGATGTAATGCCATTGAGGTCGTAGGTGCCTTGAACCACTCTGACGTGCCGGATCTCGGCCGAACGTCTCAGTTTTAATACATTTTCTTTTGCTGAATACGAAAATTGTGTCGTCGCCGCATAGGCACCTCCTCTGCTTCTATGTGACCAGCTTACCCTGCTAAAACCACTCATTCCTCTTCCCCTTTCCTCTCCTCCCCCTCCCCCAACCCGCTCTCCCCCCGTTGCACAACTTTTCTTCCGCCGTTCTGCCTCATCAGACCTGCCGGCGCGGCTCCGTCTCTTAATAGTCGCGCCGCTTCTCAAGCTCTGGCGGCGGCGCGGGGAGCTGATCGCAACCGCCAAAGCCAACCCCACGGCTCTAATCTCTGCTGGCGCCGCCCTAGGCGTCTTTCTTGGGACTTTCGTCGTCGGCCCGCTGCTCTTCTCCCCTCCACCGCTCCTCCCGCCATCCCACTTCCCCACCAACCACCTCATCCCCGCTATACGCGAATTCGCCGATCCGGAAATCGTAGACCGATGCGTCGCTATAGCGGAAGGCGCTCCGGGGTCGCTAGCACGGTCGTTTTCCCAGGCGAATCAGGACTGGCTACTATTTCACAACTATTTTCGACACATTCCGTACGGCTCGGGCGTGTATGTAGACATAGGATCCAGCCACCCGGAGCATTTCAGCAACACTTATTTCTTCGACCGGTGCTTAGGCTGGCGCGGGCTGTGCGTGGAGCCAAACCCTAAGTACTATCACCAGTATGCTAAGTATAAGCGGACGTGTACTGTAGTTCCTGCGTGCGTTCTGGACCGTAACGCGACACTTAAAATGGATTTCCAAGGCGGGATGTACGGGAGGGTGACTAAGGAGGATCCGTCTGGAGCAGCAGCAGCAGGGGAGGGAGCATCGACGGACGACAATGAGATTGAATTCAATCCGACGGGTCCTGTTCCACGAGGCTACGCCCGATGCCGTCCGTTGGAGGAGATCCTAGACGAACATTCAATCCACACCGTTGATTTCGCGAGTATAGACGTGGAGGGCGCGGAAGCCTCGGCGCTCCACTGCTTCCCGTTCCGAGCCTACGACATCCGAACCTGGCTCGTAGAAACGGATAAGGCTGGGAAAGACTTGTATCGAATCTTCATGCGAGCTGGGTATGCGCTTGTAACGGAAGTGCTCTGTCCTCAGAACCGACTACACTCCCCCTTAACCCACATGGGCGTGAAACTCGACTCAATTTTCCGGCGAGTTACCCCTGGACCCTTCCCACCCTCCAGCGGCCCGGGTAAACTCGAAATTACACCCGAAACCGCCGCCAGTGCTCCGCCTAGCACCAACTCTTCCGAAACCCCGCCTCCGCCTCCCCGCCCGCGGCCCCCCTTCCGCCAGCAACCCCCTGTGTTCCCCTCAGGAGACTTTGTGTACGGGCCAGCGTGGTTGCCGGGGGGGGAGAGGGCGGGGAAGGGGCCTGAACCGTCGTGCAAACACAAGGCACCGTGTGAGGAGCAGGTGCCGCATTTGGAGGAGGAGGAGGTGGAGGAGAGTAGCTTGAAGCTGAAGCTGGGGACGTGCAGGCGAGGGGGGATGCCCATGTCTGTGCACCCGGTTGCTTATAGAGGGTGATTTTGTTGTGAGGATGGGATGGGGTGGGCAGGGGGAGGTTTGTAAGGGCAGGTGCCGGATTTGGAGGTAGGGGAGGAGTAGGAGGAGGTGAAGGGGAGTGGTTTGAAGCTGAAGCTGGGGACGTGCAGGCTAGGGGGAATGCCCATGTCTGTGCACCCGGTTGCTCATAGAGGTTGATTTTATTGTGTAGATGGGGTGGGGTGGGCAGGGAGAGAGGGGAGAGAGAGGGGGGGGGGGGTTGTGCGGAGCAGGTGCCACATCTGGAGGTGGACGGGAGCAGCTTGAAGCTGATGTGGATCCAGTTGTGGTTAAGAAATGGCTAGCTGTTGTTGCAGCGGCGAGAGGAGTATGGGAGTATGCATGCAAGTGGAGTGGGATTCCCAAATTCTGGGGTTGTTTAGGTGGAGTGGAGAGCAGTAGTAGCTGAAGCTTGGGCGAGCAGGAGATGTTGGTGCGAGGATGATTGGTTCGTTCGCAGTTACCAGGCAACCACCTGCACCTGCTTGTAGACAGACATCTGTTTTGTGCTTGTGAATGCTGTGAAGGAACAGAATGGTCAGAATAAGCATAGTGTACCACACACTCACCCTGCATGGTTTTGTATTCAAGGTGGAGTGGCGGTGCTGCACCTTTCACATGCCATAGCGTGTTGAAACTTGAAAATTGTTTCCTACCAGTACCGTACGTCACAGTCCACAGAATGGAGCCAGTTTTGCGGCTCCTCTTGAGGACTTCTGAGGTGCTTAAAGCAATCCTCCTCACCCATGGTTAGGATGGCGCTTGTGCAAATCTTGACAGCCCTTGTCACAGTTCACAGCATGAAACATGACAGCTGCGACCTCATGACAACTGTGAACTTTTGCTGCCCCTCGTGACAACTTCTGAGGTTATCGACAGCTGTCGCAGTCCCCGGAGTGGAACAGGTTCCTTCCCCAGTTCCTGTCAGAAGCAAGCTGGGCGCCTCATTCACCGCACGGCTCACGCTTGTGCAGCTCCCTACAGCCATCACAGTCCACGGAATGGAACCAGTTCCTATCCTTCAACTGGGGAAGCAAGCCGGGGGGCGCACTCGGCTTCGTTTCCCCACACCCAGTCACCCGAATCCTCCTCAGTTCAGTGAAGGAGGAAAAGAAGGACGGCAGCGTTTGGAGGTTAGTCCAGTGGTGCAGAGTCAACTCAGTCAAAGCGGTGGCAGAGGCGAGGGAGTCAGGGAGGAAGGGCAGGTCGCACTTGGCGATTTGCAGCACTCGGAGGGACGCCGGGCAGGCAATCTCTGGCTTTAAGTGGATCACTTGAGTGTTGTTCTGGTAATAGGCCTCAAGGCCGTGGTCCCAGGCCCACCAAGGCACCTCGGTGCGACAAGTTAATGTCCACATGTCATTCCGGATCACGGACAGGCCGAGCGTGTGCAGCTGAGTCAGCGCTGACAGGGACGCGAGCATCTCCCTGCCGCCCAGCTGGCAACAATTGTCGACCACTAGCGAGTGGAGGCTCGGCAGGTGGGAGAAGAGATTACTCGAGCCTAGCTCCCCCCCGGGCTTCCCTTCCCAGTGGCAATCGGGAAGCGGCTGATACAAGTGCAAGTAGCGGAGGTTAGAGTACCATCCCTGGTCGATCCCATGCAGTCGCACGGACCAAAACACCGACAGGTGTGTGAGGCTTGGCAGGGGACCCATGTCTACCTCCATAGCACCCCCCCAGCACTTGGTCACAATCATCTCTCGGAGGTTCGGGAACAAGAACCGGTCTCCCTCGCCCCTCCACGCTGGGTCCCAGCGGTGTGGGGAAAGCGTGGGGACCAAGTCGCCGTACACGCACGAGTCCTGCCCCCCTGCCCCCACTGCTGTCACTTCCAGGTGCTCCACTGACTCGGCTGCCCGCCCTGCAGCGTGCAGCAGGCTGCACTGGTTGTAGCGCAGCTGTAGCCGGCGCAGAGACACGGGTAGAGGCGCGCCTGCGGTTATTCCGTCCGCCGTCATGGAGAGGACTTGCAGGTTGGGGAGGAGGGGGAGGGCGTCTGAGGTGTCTGGGAGGGCTTTGGGGGCGAGGAAGCGGGTGAGGTGGCGGAGGTGGCGGATGGATGGGGGAAGGCCGAGGGAGGAGCGGAGGGTGAGCGAGGAGAGGAGCGGCAACGAGGCCAGCCCTCGAATTGGCCCACCTGCTGCTGTTGCTGCTCCTACTCCTGCTGCTGTTACTCCGACTGCTGTTGCGGCTGGGGCATGTGCAAGTCCTTGCTGCTCCTCTCCCTCCTCCTCCGGGACCTCCTCTGTGAGTCCTAGATAATGGCTCCACACGCCACGCCCCTCCTCGAACTCCTCTTGGTCGTCGTCAAACGGCACTCTTAACGACGTCTCCAGCCCCTGCAGCTGCGACAGACGCCAGGCGGACCCGTGCATCACCATAACCACCTCGCTATAGTCACCATCCCCACGCTCCCCATTGCCACCATTGCCACTGCCGTCGCTATCGCCACTGCTGTAGGGAGTGTGCAGCAGAATCAGCTTCTGCAGCCGAGACTCGAGCCCGAGAAACAGATCAGGAGACAGGCGAGCCCCCCTCCCAGCCACCCTGAGCCTCAATTGCAGCTCTTTCAGAGATTTGAGTGCACTGAAGGGTGACCCAGACAGGAGGACAGCTGGCAGGCAGTTGCGGTTACCACTGTCACCGCTGTTACCATAGTTACCGCTGTTACCAGCACCGAGGGCGAGATTGAGGGAGGTGAGGCGGGGAGGGAGAGGAGGGAGTGAGGGAGGTGCGAGAGAGGGAGGGAGAGGGATTGGATGCGGTGGCAGTGATCGAAGAACCAAGGAGAGAGGCTTAGGAACGAGGCCAAGCCGTCGCCTTGAAGATGCAGCGAATGTAGTCGCTTACACCTGGAGACCACACCTAAGAGCCCTGCTTTAATAGCGCGGCTCATTTCCGTCCGCCGCTGCTGCCGCTCCTGTTCTCTCCTCGCCTCCTTCCTCTCTCGCCTGATCTCTCTCCCACGCCTTGCCACCAGCTCTCTAGCTGCAACCTTTACAACTATACCATCCTCTTCAGCCCACCGCCTCTCCCACTCTCGTGCTATCTCTTTCTCTTTCTCCTCTTCCTCCTCCGTCTCCTCATCCCGCCGCCCACATCGCTCTTCCCGCTCCATCCATCCCGCCACGTCAGCCTGCACGTGGCAGCTCCTCAGCGCCCCCAGCCCCGCCACCGCGTCCAGCACCGTCCTGACGTCACCCGGGCCCAAATCCACGTCACCACGCAGTGGCACGCGCACAGACGCAAGATTCGGGAACTGCTGCAGAAGCTCAGTCACCTGCTGGACAGACGGCATATCAGCATGCCAGCAGTTTCCGTGCACATGCAGCCACTGGTCGTGCTCGACCATGCAGTGGTATCCCACCCGCAGCTCCTCTCTCGTCGGGTGGCACTCGTGGCCCTCATCCCGCTCCATCTGCAGCACCCGCCGCGCGAACCGCCGCCTGCTGGCGACTCTAGAAAGAAAAGAAGTACTAGAAGCAGAAATAGGAGAAGGAGGAGTGGTAGGAGGCGGCGCAGCAGGGTCGTCACACAACGGCGCGGAAATGCTCAATGGGGGGTCCGAGTCGGCCATTCCAAGCTGCCATGCGGACGGGTCGTCCAGCACCCAAAGCGCCGACGACCACGGATCCCACTCGCCGCTTTCGCTGCAGCAGCTGCTGCTCGTCGGAATCGGATCCCACGCCTCGTTGGGTTCAGCCTCTCCGTTAGTTTGCCGTGCCGCATGACTGCGGCCGCCGAGCGTTCCGTCGACCCTGGCGCCGCTGCTCGCGGCGCCGTTGCTCTTAGGATCGTAAGCACCTTAGTCGGCAATAGTCTACTTGCTATCGCCTATTGTGTTCTCCACGATCTCCCGAATCCAATGATATGCGCAGCTCTGCTTGAAGTTGTCAATACACACTTCAGCAATTTTCAAAATCTGATTGGTATGATTTCCAGAATGAGTACAAGCAGTTTTATAGTCAGGCAAGACACAAAATGCGATTCGTAACTTCACTTGTTTCCCAAGTAACCGCGTGCGCCTCGTCTCACCCTGAGTCGCACACGCAACCGAACCGAATTCGGTGAACACTCCTCAAGACCGAATCTTGAACTTTCTCGAACACCCCTCGAGCTCGAACCACAATTTCCCCTTGCCAACTTCAATCTCGATGCTTCTTCCACCTTCTCACACATTCCTTCTCGATTTCTCTCTCCCTTCTCACGCCGTAGGCCGATTTCCACCGTTTCACACACGCGCTTCCATTTCGCCGTCGTAGATGCTTTCGCCTTAGGTTCCGTGGTTGGGCGAACCAACCCTAACAGTTGCTGGATCCGCCTGCGCGTTCGGCGCCGCGAAGCACGGGCCTCCAGCGGAGCTGGAGCGGGTCGAAAGCGAGGGAGAGATGCTGCACGGCGTGGCGGTAAGCGCGGCGCCATTCGCGGCACGCCTGGCCTGTGCGGCGGAGATGATCGGCGGAGATGGCGCGGTGGGAGAGAAGGGCGAGCGCGTGGGAAAGACAGTCCGGCGGGAGGGACGGCGGAAGGGACGGCGGGAGGGACGGTTTGAGTGCCGCGGCGGCGCTTTCTTGAAGGTCTCGATACCGAGCACGAGTCGCGTTCTTGCGAACAACTTTTGCTTTGCTGCGGTACGCTGCGGTTTCCGTCCTATTGCAGCAAGCGGCGGCGCCTTGCGTCGAATAAGTTATTCGCGCGGCGACGGACTGCTGCTGATTTCTCTTGCTGCTGCTGCGGGCTCCGTTTAGCAGGCTTCGTCAATCGCCGTTGCGGCTCTTTATCCGATCTCCGCCGCTGCTGCTTTCGTCGCGCCTGCTGCTCCGACCGCTCTTGCCGCGGCAGCGGCGATGCGTCTGTCGCTGGCGCCGCGCGTCGCGCTGGGCTCACGGTTTTCGCCCTTTTTAACAGCTCCGACAGACACACCTTCACGTTCGTCAACTCTGAGGTGGATTTTTTCGTCGATAAGTGGACGTCGACGCTGCTGACACGTGTCTGACGAATCTTACTCGACACATCATGATTATAACATAATGTCATTGCTGATATCCCGTTACTACAATTCGAATCAGCAGCGCGTCGTTTTTCTCGCTCCGTGCCTCCTACTGCGGCTGATTCCCAGCGCTGCTGCCGGCATTGGCGCTGCATTTGCCGCAGGTTACGCCGTTGGGGGTTCCGCGTTGAGAAACCCATGATAATGCGCCGCGCTGAACGCGGTTACGGCTCGTCTAGTACGGGTGTCCGCCTCTGCTGCTATTGTCATGCGCCTAAGATATTCGATATAATCTAGCTTTCGAGGAGAAAGAAGTATTTGGCGCAAAAATGCGATCTTGTATTTGCGACGCTTGTGCTTCCTGGTGAGCACGCAAAACATGAGGCGGTGGTTTGGAAGGGACATCACAAAAAACCGGACCTGAAAACAGGCGGTTTAGGTTCGGTTTTCTGTCCAACCAATGGAAAACCGTCGAAAAACACTCAACTTGTTCCGACGGAATTCCACCGAGTGGCGCGCTGGTAGTGTCACTAGATTTTCCATCGGATTTCCATCTCGGAGGGATTCTATGACTTAAATCGGAAAGCAGAGATTGTTTCCGGCGGATTTCCACCACCATCGCGCTTCGGTCAAAACTGATTTCCCCAGCAATAAATTTGATAATTTTTACTGTACATATACTACACTGTGCAAAGGTGGTACACGGAAGAAAAGCAATTCCGATAAATGTTTACCAACAATTTTATATCAATAAAACCCTTTTCCCAGTCGATACTAATTTGCACCAAATATATTTCTGGAGTAAGTTTCAATGTTTCACATAATATGTATTATTATTGCAGTACATACAACAGAGAGTTAATGGGTCTTAACACAATACCTAATAAGATCTAAAAGTAAAGCACAGATAGGAAGCACATACTAGTACACAAAATACGGTAACCTGCAAACCTTGCTGCTGGTCTATGCACACTACAAGATCACATCAAGGCAAGGATAAGACCCATAACATGCTGCCTTTGCTGCTGCAGCAACAGCATGACAGAACGCCGTAGTAGCTGCTGCTCCTGCAGTAGCATAACAAAAGGGAAAACACTAAATCACGTTACTTCAAATAGAAAAAAGCTGCACAGTTACCACGGAAAGAAAGCTGTTTTTTTTTTTAACAGAATTGCGAACAGGCATCGGCGCCACCATAAATCACATCTAGTCTCGGGTACTGCTTGAATTGATGGTCTGCGAAATCAGCACAGAAGACACAAGTCAGTCGAATGACTGAAATGCGAACCCATCACAAGTTTCAGGAAAGAAGAAACAGCAGAGAAGCGACGCTCGCGTCGGACGTGTTGCAGAGCTTTCACGCATTAATCAGTTCTGCACCAGTAAAAACGAAGCGCCGAAGAGTGAAATAACATCGCTACTAGAAACCGATGACTTGAATTGAAACGATACTACGTACCTGTTAATCGACATTAAGCGTGGTGGAAAGCAGAGGAGAGAGACGAGTTACGAAGGCGAGGGAGGAAAGAAGATTGAAAAATGCGTGAAGTGATGGAAGGGGACGCTGAAAGAGGAAGAAGGGAAGGATTGCTGCGCAAGGTGCACCAGCTGCTGCTGCCGTTGCCCCGTCAGCAGAGCAGCTGCGCTTGCGCAGTCGCGCTGGCTGCTGCTTGTGCTGGGTGGGTTGAGCTGTTGCGGGGGGGAGGGGAAAGTTGCGCTTGCAGTGCTGCATGTCCCAGATGCGCTTGAGGCAGTTCCAGCAATTGCGCGCAGATGGCAGTTGCAGCAATTGCGCAGCTGCACTAGATCGTAGTCTAGCGCAATTGTGCAAGTTGTGCAGTTTAGCACCACGTAACTGAATACTTGACGGCGAGAAAGGACCAATCATAAGAATTCCTATCGCCAACAAGGTGGGTAAAAAATGAGTACACCAATGACAGAACACTTCAACGATGACGTGTTCGCGTTCTTGAGCAGGGGGCGTATTGAAATGACGTGTGCAGGATTGACCAAAGCGGTGGCCAGTCCAGGAGTCTACAGTATATGCAGTTATATTGACCGGACTCGTACTTTCCCATTTTTCTCCAAAATCCGATTTCTATTTCCCACAAAGTATCACAATCTGTAACAAATATACGCGGTTTTATCATTGTAAAGTATATTCCAGCCGAAACTTAACACTTAACACTTTCATTGCTATTATAATCTTCATATAATTACAAAGGCCTATCCTTGCACAATTTTCTCTAATTAGTTGTTTGTGACAAAGTTTGAAGAAAGAAAGAGGATTGAACTAGCAAGAATGAGGATACAAATAGCAAACCCTAGAAGGGTTCTACTCGCTATAGAGCACCCCACTACAGGCTAGAACAATAAGATAATATTCTGACAGTTTGAACCACCATATATTCCTACCACGAACTGCGAATGACACAAAATCTGCCAAACATGCCTGCAAGTCGAGTGTGTGAAAGAGAGAACGAGAAAATGGAATGACTATGAAAGAAGTGAGTACAAATAGGAAACCCTAATTGGGTTGTACCCCCTATGGGATACCCCACTATAGCCTACACAATAGTATAAGCTATATAGTTCTGACACACCCCCATAGGCAAAGTGGGGGAGAACAAGGGGTCACAAGACCAGTCAAGCAAAGCAAAGCAAAGCTCAGGGTGGATCACAAAGTCACCACACATTCCGAGCACAAGTTCAAGGCCACATGGCCAGTTCACATGCAAGATCATATATAGAGATATACAAGAGTCAAGTAAGCAAGAGCAAGAGTATATATAGGCGAAGGTACAAGCAAGGTCAAGAGGAGAGCAAGTGAGGCAAGACAGGCACAAGACCCAACTGCGTGCAACAACGCTGATGATCACAAGGCGCAAGTGCCTTGGTGAAGACATCAGCAGTGTTGGCCTCAGAGGCCACGTACGCAAGTCGCAACTGTCCACGCTGCTGTAGCTCACGAGCAAGAAAGTAGCGGAGAGCAATGTGCTTCGTTCTGTGCTCCAGTCTCTGCTCTCGACACAAGGCCAGCATGGCCTTGTTGTCTACGTACAGGACTGGAGGAGAACGAGGCTGCTCTCCAAGGTCGGTCAACAGGTAGGTGAGCCAGCGTAACTCCTGTGCAGCCATAGCCCCGGCGTAGATCTCAGCCTCACAACTGGAGCCGAGAACAGAAGACGAGCGGGTAGCCCGCCACGAAACAGAGCCGGAACCAAGGCTGAAGGTGTAACCCTGTGACGACCGCTGCGTAGCCTGGTCGTCAGCCCAAGAAGCGTCCGCGTGCCCAGTGAGGACCACTGGACTGCGCCCTCCAAGCACTAGCCCCATGCCCGACGTACTGCACAAGTAGCGCAACACCCTCTTCGCTGCAGCCATGTGCTCTGGTCGGTGTCTCCCAGGAGCAACATAGCGTGCGAGAATGCTAAGAGGGTATGCAAGGTCAGGTCGTGTGCAGGTCATCAGGTACATGAGGCAGCCAACAAGCTCTGCATACGGGCCACTCGAATCTACGGACTCATCCGAAGGCAGAGCTGAGAGCGAGTGGCGAGTAGGCAGAGGAGTGGCCTGAGGCGAGGAGT